AATAAATTGTACCTATTTGATACCTTTTGTTCTGAAAGTCTCTAAGATAATTTGCTACAATGAGTAACAGACTATTCCTGGATTTTAATTTTAAATGTTAAATCTAGAGTTTGATTTAGTCCTACGAATTTGTTATAAGTACTATGATAATCTTAACTAAGTTTCTAAATATTATAAGGATATTTAATAAAACCAAGACTCACTATATAAGTTTAAGAGTTATTGAAGCATTGAGGGAAGTTTTAAGCAACTGAGGTAGTTATAGGAAAAAATAAGTTTATATATGCAGCTTAGCATGTTTAAGATTACCTGCATTTTAAACCCTTTAAAAGCAATAATTATATTTGTAAACTGCTTTGAGCTCTTAGGGAAGAACTAAGTTTTCCAAATTTGTAACTTTAATAATCTAATAGTTTTTTAAAAAGTAGTCCCTGAAACAATCATTTTTTGTGCCTAACAGTCACCATCAATGGCATCAATAAAACAAAATCCTCAAATACTTGTTTGATATGATATAATCCTAACTGCTGTACATGAAATTCTAGAAGACAAGACTCTTTTCTAACTTTCCTGATAATCACTGTAAACATTTGCAAGAAAAACCTCAAAATTTAAGATCCTACCTGCTGAATTTCTTACTGCTTGAGAAACATTTGTTAAATAAGAAGCGATAGAAACAGTTGTTAAATGATATTGTTAAATATGAACGTGTATTAACAAACTATAAAAAACAACTATTTCGGGATCATTCTGTTAGATTTATTCTGCACATATAGCAATATGCAATTACAATAGATGTAGTTGATAATTATATGCAAGTAGTGAAAATTACTGAGTCAAGATAATAAATAATGTTCACTCTATGCTACTTACTATAACAGGGAAAACAGACTAACAAGCAGTATTAGATAAAAAATATAAATACAGGTCTGGGGTACAGTTCAGTGGTACTGTGCTTGTGGTACATGTGAGGCTCTGGGTTTGATCCCCAGCATCACAGCTTCCTTCCTGAGATACAGATAAACAATACTGAAGTGTAAAACAAAGTAAGTTCTGAACAACAAAAATTTTGCACTAATTAGAATTCCCTTAGTAGTTTACAGAACTGAAATTTTAAGTTACCAGTTCTTATTACTTGACTAGCATAGCAATATTTATTGCTCTAACAAACAAGCCAAAATAAGTAGCTATGATCTATTAGAAGACGGAAATATATGACAATCTAACATATCAAAGATGATTCAGTTTCCAATCACAATGTAATTAAAACAGAAATCAGTAAGAAAAAAATAAAATGACCCCTGCAAATATTTGGAAATCATGCAATACACCTCTAACCCACTGGCCAAAGAAGAAATCACAAGGGAAATGAGAAAATTAATGATTATGAAAATAAAGCATATCAAAATTTGTGAATACAAGAAATTTATAGCTCTAAATCAATAGTCTAAGAGCTTATAAGAAGCTAAAAGATAAGCAAATGAAACTTAGGTAAATCAGAAAAAGGAAATATTAAAGATTAATCAGTAAGAGTACAAATATATATACAGAGAATTCCAGTATATATACATAATAGTAAAAGAAAACTGATACAATTTAAAAAATGGGCAAGAGACTTTTACAAAGTCTGGCCAAAAAGGAAATGTAAACTAAAACCACCAGAAACTGCTACACACCCCTAGAATGTCTCCAATTAAAAAAGTAGAGAAAAGTGAGTGCTGGCAAGAATGTTCCAGCACACTGTTGGAGGGAACGCAAACTTTTGGAAAAATGTCTGACAATTTCTTACAAAATTAAATGTGTATCTACCCTTTGACTCAGCAATTGTACTCTTTAATTTGTCAAAGAAAATAAAAACATATGGCCACAAAGAGTTATATAATATGCTCAGTAGAAGGGGCTAGGAGTACAGCTGAGTGGTAGTGGGTTCATGATGCATGGTGTTGAGGCTCTGGGTTCAATCCCAAGCACTATGAAAACAAAACAAGGGCTGGGGATGTACCTAAGTGGTCAAGTGTTCACCTAGTATGCATGAGGCCCTGGGTTTGACCCCCTGTACTGAAAACAAGTAAAATCAAAACAGCTGGGTGCCGTTGGCTTACAACTATAATCCTAGCTACTTGGGAGGCTGAGACTGGAAGGATGAAGGTTTGATGCCAGCCTGCGCAAATAGTTTGTGGGACCCCCATCTCCAAAATAACCAGAGTAAAATGGACTTAAGGTGTGGCTCAAGTAGTAGAATGCCTGCTTTAGAAAGTGCAAAGCCCTGAGTTTAAATCCCAGACACACCAACCAAACAAAAAATGAAAAATAAATAATAAAAATTCAACAAAACACCCCCACACCAAAAAGGAATATGCATAGTAGCATTATTTATACTAGCTAAACACTAAAAATCAAGTGCCCATCAATGGGAGAATGACAAAAAAACTGGTATATTCATCCAGTGGAATACTCTGCGATAAAATGAAGCAAACTATGATACACTTAACAACATGAATAAATCTCAGAGGCACATGCTGATGTAGACACAGAAAAAAGAATAGGATTCCATTTACACAACATTTTAGAGTTTATGATGACAAACAGCAGAACAGCTGTGGAAGAAGACTGATTGGGAAAAGAACAGAAAAACATTTTTGGGTAGATGTTTATGTTATTATCATAATGGGGTTTGGATGAATGCACTTTTTTATTAAAATTGTGCAGTAAATACTGGCTTATTTCAATGTATGCAAGTTTTTACATTGACTTATAAAATAATCAAATAGAGGTATAGAGTACACTGAGGTATAGATAAAATAAGAATGACAGTAGGTTAATACTTGGAGCTGGGTGGTATGTATATGGGACTTCATTATATTATCCTGTTTACTTTGTGTATTTTTGAAATTTTCATCATGAAAAGTTAGAAAAAAGGAAGTAGACTTGTTTCAATCTTTTTATTTAATCAAAAATAGGACAATCTTATTTGCTACTCTAATTAAAATTAGGCAGTCATGAAATGTGGCTATTTTTTATTAGCAAAATTCTAATAAGAAATTTAACTGGATATTAAGTGGGGCAATCTGTGATCCCTCCCCCTCATGCTATTTTTGGGTCTTCAACCAATGACTATTTTTCACACATAAATTTATGGAAGCTAATAGCTTTGATATTTTTAAACATATAAACAGTAAAAACACTTTTATTTTTTAAATTTAATTTTTTGGTGACCTTAAAGGAAAAAGCTCCTCAGTTACTGTAACATTTAATAGCTGCTAGAAATATGGCCTAATAGCCAAAATACCTTCTCTAAATACAACTTGTTTCTCTTTTTGTTGTTGTTGTGGTACTGGGGTTTGAACTTTGGGCCTTCACCTTGAGCCACTCCACCAGTCCTATTTTTGTGATGGGTTTTTTCAAGATAGGGTCTCACAAACTATTTGCCTGGGCTGGCTTCAAACTGTGATCCTCCTGATCTCTGCCTTCTGAGCAGTTAGGATTACAAATGTGAGCTACTGGTGCCTGGCCTAGAATTTATTTCTTTTGAATTAATCTGTAGGATTAAAAAGTCCACTGGATAAGTAAAAATATTTTTAGATGCAGTGTATAAGAGGAACTCTCTGACTCTTATTTCTATTCTACTTAGTTTTCACTGCATGGGAAAGTAAACTGAATTTTTCTAGTAATATAGTATATTTAAACAGAAAGTATAAAAAACATTTATAGTGAAGTTCTTCTGTTATCAGGTGAAAAAGATTCATCTTGGTATTTCCAAACATACTGACCTGAACATTTACTATTGTGAAAAATTTCCCCCTCCAGCTTTTATGTTCTTTTCTAATTACAATCAACAACCAGCTAATTTGTACGCTAATCAATTGTGGTTCATTCAATAGTGTCCAATTTTATTGTTTAAAAAGGTTACCATGTGCAAACTTCAGACTGATTAATTTGCACTAAAGGAGAACTGCAGTAAAAAATTTATGCCTTGCAATATACAATTTTTTACATGTACAAATTTGTATCAATATAGTACCCTGCCAAGAACTGAAGCAAATAAAGGTATCTGATACACTTAGTGATTGATTTTTCTAAGGATACATTAATTAATTGATGTTAAGAAGAATTAGTCTTGTATCATAACAAAAGGTAGAAGGTAGAATTACACTGATAATGAAAAATATGAGAAACTTTGTGACTTCAATCAAGATAGTTTATGGGTAAGAAGCTAAGAGTGACCCCAGAAATCAAAGCTTAATATCCTTGGGCTGGTGGAGTACCTCAAGCGGTAGAGCACCTACCTAGCAAGTATGGGGCCCTGTGTTCAAACCCCAGTACCACAAAATGCAAAAAAAACCTCACCAAAAACCATAACAACAACAACAAGAACATCAAAAAACCCACCTTAATCCTTTTATTTTTATAGCTAAGGAAACTGAATCTCAGAAAAACTAAGGTGGTTTGATGATTGGTTAAGGGTAGTAGCAGTTAGGATTGAAATACGTGGCTCCTTATTCCTAATCTATAGCTTATCCTTTTAAACAATACTAATTTGTTAATATCTGAAGCACAACAGAAAAAATATAGTTTTCCTTTTACGTATCATGTGGAATGTTTGCTAACTTGTACACGACTTCAGAATTCTTTTTTTTATACTGTAAAAAACACTCAGCATTGCCTTCAGATGATTACATCTACTTTTAGCTGTAATACTCCAGGCATCCGCCAGGAGGAGAGTTTGTTTAAGGCACAGCCAAAATCAGACAAATGACAAGTGACAAGAACTACAACTTTCCTCCTAATTCACCCACTTATTTTAAATGTGACCAACAACCAGTCACTTTGCTAATGGAAACTTTCCTTTTCAAACTTTTTGGTTCTTATGTAGTGTAATAATAATTCACAACTTTTAAAAAATGTAATCTAAATTGTGCAAATGAACCAGGCTTTAATGGAAAAAAATGTAATTCAAAATAGGCTCAAGAAATGTACAGAACAAATAAAATCTTGCTTACCATTTTTGCTTCAGACTGTACTGGTTGAGGAGAGGAAGGACCTGGGATTCCTGGAACACTAGGCACCATGGTGACTGGGCGAACAAGCTATACAAAAGATATTGAAAAATAATTTCTACAGAACAGTTTGAAAATGAGGTTTGTACTTTTATTTGCACAATGTCTATTGTAATAATCTGAAACTTTAGAGTCAGAAAATCATAAATTTTCTCTGGTTCACTATACTTCTACAACAAACCTTCCTTGGTCTTACATCCTGACTTAACCTCCAAAAGTTGTCCATTTTTTCCCCCCAAATACTGGCACTTGAATTCAGAGCCAGATGCTCTACTGCCTGAGCCACTCTACCAGTCCTGTTTTGTGTTGGGTATTTTTGAGATAGGGTTTCACTTTTTGCCCAGGATGGCCTCAAATTTAAGTTCAATTGAACTTACCGCTTGAGCCTGGTCCCCCCTGTCTGAAAGTTGTCAGTTTCTCTAAAACACTTATCTTCAGTTCAGTTCTCACAATTTTTTTCTTAATGGTTGGTTCCTTCTTATAGAAATTCATATTATTCCAAGTGAGGGATACAAATTTCTCTCAAATCTGTCACTTTCATTTTGCACTTAAAGGAAATAATGTTAAAACTTGTCACAACAGGCATAAAAAATAACTTCTTGATCTTTCTAAAATAGATATATAAATTTTCTAAAATAAGTGAGTTATTTAATATATTAACATCCTGCATAATGACAAAGAAGATGATGACTTCTAACAATTTCTCAAACTATGTGAAGCAGACTTACTATTTTCACTTTTGCCTTCAGAAGTTATTATATAAATAAAGTACATCTTTTTCATTTCAAGTTGCTTTCATCATAGTGCATTTAACAGTATAGCCATACAATTTCAAACACAAGGCAAGAATCTTTTTCCTCTCAAACATATCCTCCAAAAATGGGAAGCAGACTTTATTAAGTCTTTACAAAGCTTCAAGTAATGCATGTGGAGCAAGAACGTTCTGTTTGAAGAAGACATGTTGAAATTACCTCAATCAATGCTAATTTTGGATATTAGAAAGATCACTTCGAAGACTTAAATAACTTAGAATTTTTTTGTAAAAAGTGAATACATAATATTAATCTTAGAAATATTCCTGGGGGTATAACTGTACCAATAGTTTTGGAATGTTATTTTAAGTATGCTTTTAAAAATTATTTAAGAAAATACAGAGCAGCTGGGTACCAGCAGCTCACACCTGTAATCCTAGCTACTGGGGAGGCAGAGATCAGAAGGATCACAGTTTGAGGCCAGCCTGGGCAAAAAGTGAAACCCTATCGATCTCAAAAATACCCAACACAAAACAGTATTGGCAGGGTGGCTCAAGCAGTAGTGTCTGGCTAGCAAGCATGAGACCCTGAGTTCAAACCCCAATACCACAAAACACAAAAGCAAAAACAAAAAACACCTTAATCCTTTTATTTTACAAGGAAACTGAATCTCAAGAATCTGAAACCGAATCATAAGAAAAAGAAAGTAAATAATTACATCACATCGATCAGCAATAAGTATCTACAAGGCAAAAAACCACAATTTTTTATTATATAAGAGTATCTAAGGCTTAAAAAGTGTTACACCATAAATAATTCAGGTGAAAATGAAAAAAAAAGTGTTTTGGAAAACTCTGCTAAATGTCTTAAACAGTGGTTCTCAGGATGAAAACGTGAAATACTGAAGACAATTTGAAGAGCATGAGTGAAGCTGTTATATGAAATATGACAATAGGAAAAAACTCATTATTTCTAATTTACATCATTCCAAATAATGTGTTTTTAAGTGCTCATTAACTACTGAGTTTCGTTAGGTAGTTATTTCAGCATGCCCTGAAAACACTTCTTTTAGATCTTTTCATTACAGACTGGGAGACTGCTCTACAACATTTAGATTTTTAACATGCTTGGACCATCAAAGAAACTCTGTAAAATCCACTGACCACAAAGGTTCAAAGTTGCTCTTATGAAGAATTTTTATAAATATAATAAATACCATGGTTATCTGACAGCATTCTAGTACAGATACCTTTTTAAAATCAGAAATCTGAACTATCTGAATTCTACAAATCTAGTCAATTTGAAATGAGCTGAATGAGAAATACACTTCCTAAAAGAAAAAACAGAAAACAAGGTTGGGGAAGAAAAATATTTTCTATCCAATTATGCTTGCTTTGAACACTATATTCTACTGCCATAAAAATCAACAAATAAGTATTACCCACCACTAACGAGCATTTTGTTAAATTCACTTTAATAAACAGTGTAAGAAGCCAATCAAGCAGTTTTGCTATAAAAAACTTAAATAGTCTAAATTTCCAACTTACTGGGACTGCAGATGGAACATGCACATTAGAACTTGTAATTGATGCAGGGATGGCAACAGGCATGGTTTGTCCATTAGGAAGATGTAACAGAAGGGGAAATGGGCCTGGCACAGGGCTAAGAAAAACGAAAAATGGGAAAATTTAAAGGATCCACACCAGTCATCTCTTGAAAATACAACGGCATTTTTATTCCTATTTTATTATTTAAAATCAGTTTTCTAACCACTACAGAATTGAAATTTTTAGTTATTTTTTTAAAAAAAGAAAAAATATGGATTTCCTTGGGACAATCTCCTATTTGTAAAATGAGAAAAGTTCTCATCAGAAAATCAAAAGGTTCTTGGGAGCAGGCTGAGTGTGGTGATATATACTGATAATCCCAACATTTGGGAAGTTAAAGCAGGAGGCCCAGGCAGGAGCTGGCTTGTGCTACATTAAAACAAAAAAGGAAAAAGTTCTTGGGAACTACTTGTAAGAACTGGAAGAAATGTTACCTGCCAGGTGCTGGTAAATCATTCCTGTAATCCTAGCTACTCAGGAGGCAGAGATCAGGAGGATCTTGGTTCAAAGCCAGCCCTGGGCAAAAATTTTGCAAGACCCTATTTCAAAAAAACTCATCAAAAAAAGGGCTGGTGGAGTGGCTCAAGGTGTAGGCCCTGAGTTCAAACCTACCAAAAAAAAAAAAAAAAAGCTATCTGATGGTGGAGTAACTTTATACATTTTGTGTGAACTGCATGAAATTAAAAGATAATCTTAAATCCATATTTTATGTTGACTTGTTTTTAATTATTAGATATTTATTTTCCAATCTATTATATAATATATTTAAAAAAGAATATTCACGTTTTCCAAAAATCAAATCATATAGCGTACTCTCTCTCTCTCTTTCACATACACACACCAAACAAAAGGAAAAACCTAAGGTTATAATTTGAACAATTAAATAGCTTAAGAAAACCATATTAAGAAAGATCTAACAATTCAGATAGAGTCAATGATTGGCCCCAATTTACTTACACGATTGGCCTGTTGGAGGATGGTGCCTGGGTGATTACAGTACTTGAGGTTGGTGAAGGTACTGCCTGCTGAATAATTACACTTGAGTCAGAACTTGTGAGCAGCACATTGGGAACCTGTAATGATGCTGGACGAACAATAGCTGATGTGGGCTGTGCAGTTTGTGCCAATGGTACTTCCTATTTAATAATGAGATAAAGAAAGGGTGGCATTTAAAAATGCAAATCAATTCATGTGAACAGGCTGTCATACATTTCTAAAGGCACCCACAGGATAATAATTAACAGACAAAAGTAAATTAATATCTAAAATTAATTAAGAGAACACTTAAAGGACTGCATGTGTTGCTCAAGTGGTACAGCACCTGCCTAACAAGTGCAAAGTCCTGAGTTGATAGAGAGAGACTGAGACAGATACATACATGAGAGAGGACAGTAGAGGAGAGGAAGGGAGAAGGGAAAGGAGGGGAGAGGAGAGGAGAGGAGAGAGAACATTTTAGAAGTAGTTATAAAGGTTCAAATGCACTGCTCAATATTTTAATTTTTTAAAATCTGGGTTTTTTTTTTCCTAGTAAAGCTTGTTTTCCTATCAATCTAGAAGTAAAGTAGGCTGGGCAATTAACTTGGTGAGGATTCCTTGAGAATTTCATAAAAAAATTCAAATATAACCCATTCTTAGCAATAGAACCCAGAATCTAGAAGGGACTGCCTAGTTCTACTGTCTCATTATACTATACAGATAGGAAACTAGTCCAGGGAGATAAATTCAGTAACACAAATGCTTTAAAATATTTTAAAGTGATAAAAAATATTTGCTAATCTCAGATAGTTAGCTACTTCCTCCAATATCAATAATTTCTCAATATCAAAAGGCCAACTAATACTGAATTATTATTTTATTTTTTGGTGGTACTGAGGTTTGAATTCAGGGCCACACGCTTGCTAGGCAGGCACTCTACCAGTCCTTTTTTGTGTTAAGTATTTTTAAGCTAGGGTCTCATGAACTATTTGCCCAGACTGGCTTCAAACCATGATCCTCCTGATCTCTGTCTTCCAAGTAGCTAGGATTTTAGGCGTGAGCCACTAGTGTCTGGCTAATATTGAAATTTTAAATGTAAAATTAATAATTACTGGAGTAAGATCTTTCCAAAACAAGAAACAAGACAAGAATGAGTTAGCCAGGACTTTCAAGATAGACTTTTCTTTTGGTTTTACAGATTAGGAAACAGAGATTAGAGCCTTACCCTGAACTGAACTAGTTGGTATAAAAACTGTTAACAGTGTATTCTTTGAAATTGGCCTTTATATTACTATTTAGTGTCAAAATCTTATTAAGCTACATAGGGAGAAGGAAGAATAACTAGTACCATGCAACTTCATTTATTCAGTAAGTTTGAGAATTTATAATATGCCTTCAAGGACTAGTGGGAAGGATGACAATAAAGTAAAATAAACACGAAAATTTCAGATTGTAGTGAGTATTAAATATTAAAGAACAAAAGTGCAGTGTAATAAACAGTGGGAGATTTAACTGAGGATAGATAGAGGGGGATACTTTAGACAGAAAAGTGAGGAAAAATAAGTTGCTTTGCAAAAATGGTACCTGAACTGATACTGAAAGGATAAGTAAGAGAGCATGCTAGGGAGAAGGAGGTAATGTCACATGTAGTATCTTGAAGCAGGAAAGGTTTGGAATATTTGATGAACACAACAGAGTTGCATGAAGTGAAGATGGATGGGCAGACAAGTCCAGATCAAAGAGGGCTTAGGCTAAGGAGTATAAATATCTTAAATACAATGGCAAACCACTGAAAGATTTTAAGCAGGGGAGTAGCATGATTCAATGAACTTAAAAAAAAAACAAAAGAAACTATGGAAAATAGTTATGGAGATAGAAGTAGGAAATCTAGTAAGAAAGAAGTAATAGCCTGGCATGGCGGCATGAACCTGTAGTCCCAACAACTTGGGAGGCTGAGGCTATAGGATTGCAAATTTGAGGCCAGTCTGGGCAACATAGCAAGATACTGTCTCTTATAAGAAAAACAAAGGAACTAAGGATATAGCTTAAGAGTGCATGCTAGAAACCCTTGGTTTCATTCACAGCACTGGAAAACCCCCCAAAAAACTGTTAGTAATATAAGTAAAATACGATGATGGCTTGCCCTAAACTGATGACACTGAACACTAGAAGAGGAATCAGATTCAGGATATGTTCTGGAATTAAAAGGATATAACCTAAATTCTTTGACTTAAGCAAGCAGATGGCTGATTTTTTTTTAAGTTTTTTTAAAAGTAGGGTCTTGCTACATAGCCCAGGCTGGCCTGGAACTTGTGATCCTCCTACTGCCATTTCCTAAGTACTGGGATTGTACACATGCACCATCACACTTGGTTGGATGGAGAAAACTTACTGAGAGGGAAAAACTCAGGAAAAGAATTAAGTGTTAAGTCTACTTAATAGACTTGAAGTGTCTAGAAAGGACAGAGTTGGATAGAATATAGCAATCTGGAAAGACACTTGGGTTGATATAAATTTGAGAGTTATAAATATATAGATGGTTTTAAAAGTTCTGAGTCTGGATGGAATTGCCTAAGAAAATCAAAACAGAAGAGGTCCCAAATTTTTTTTTTTTTTTCCAACGTGCCATGACTATGATCTACTCAAGAGGAGCTAATGACTGAGGAATGAAGGAAGAGGGAATACCCTAAATGTCGATAAAGCAGCCAACAGTGAAGGGACTGGAATGCTTTGTAGGAAAAAAGATTTATCTCAAGGATTTAATAACAGTTGTAATAATGGTGATAATGTGGAAACAACCATATGTTGAAAAAGAAGAGGATAATTAAATACATCAAGACAATAATAAAATAAAGTACAACCATAAAAAATTATGATTTGGGGAAATCTCTAATGACAAGGGAAAACGTTCATTAATGTTGAGTGTTTAAAGTATAATGTAAAAGTAAGCTGAGATCTTTCTTTGTACCCATTTATCTTACTATATGACTATACACTTTATATATTTGCATGTAAACATGTATGTATTAGTAATTCTTATCATTCAACTATGAACTATCATGTGCATTTTTCTATTCTTAAAGTTTTCATGAGAATATACTTTTATTATACTTAAGAAAAGGAAATGAGTAAAATAAAAACTGCTCTAAAGTGAAAGCATTTATTCTTGGTAAAAAGTTACTTTTTCTGAAGTCATATGCCACATAATGATGTTCAGGTTGAGAACAGACTGTCTAACACGACAGTGGTCATGTAAGAGTTATATATGGAGCTGGAAAATTCCTATCACCTAGTGAACACATAGCTAAAGAGGCAAGAGAAATGAATTTTAGCGATTTGTGAGTTCAAGGCCAGCCTGGGCTACATAGTGAGACCAAGCCAACCACTGAGATCTATTTCAGAAAAGACTGACACCTCCTTCAAGAAGGGCCTCAGCACTATTCACAATAGTGAATAGTGGCCAAGTTATGGAAACAGCCAAGATGCCCCAGCACTGACGAATGGATTAAGAAAATGTGGTATCTATACACAATTTATGGAATTTTATGCAGCCATGAAGAAGAACGAAATGTTATCATTCGCTGGTAAATGGATGGAATTGGAGAACATCATTCTGAGTGAGGTTAGCCTGGCTCAAAAGACCAAAACTCGTATGTTCTCCCTCATATGTGGACATTAGATCAAGGGCAAACACAACAAGGGGATTGGACTATGAGCACATGATAAAAGCGAGAGCACACAAGGGAGGGGTGAGGATAGGAAAGACACCTAAAAAACTAGCTAGCATTTGTTGCCCTTAATGCAGAGAAACTAAAGCAGATACCTTAAAGCAACTGAGGCCAATAGGAAAAGGGGACCAGGTACTAGAGAAAAGGTTAGATCAAAAAGAATTAACCTAGAAGGTAACACCCACGCACAGGAAATCAATGTGAGTCAATGCCCTGTATAGCTATCCTTATCTCAACCAGCAAAACCCCTTGTTCCTTCCTATTATTGCTTATACTCTCTCTACAACAAAATTAGAGATAAGGGCAAAATAGTTTCTGCTGGGTATTGAGGGGGGGGAGCGGGAGGGGGTGGAGTGGGTGGTAAGGGAGGGGGTGGGGGCAGGGGGGAGAAATGAACCAAGCCTTGTATGCACATATGAATAATAAAAGAAAAATGAAAAAAAAAAAAAAAAGAAGGGCCTCAGGTTGGACTTTCAGGAAGGATCCTGAAGCAGGCACTGATATCAAAGGAGATAACAGTTCCCTCTGTGTTACTGCCTAAGACCTTCCAGTGGGACAAGATGTGGAGGTAGAAGACAGCCATACTGATTCTGACCCTATGTAGGTAATGTGTATATTTGTTTCTTAGTTTTTAACAAAAGTTTAAAACAAATAAACAGAAATGTAAATGGAAAAAAGAAAGACTTATACAATAGGATTCCAAAAATGAAAATATTTTGTACAACTGTACCATATGCATGTGTTTTAAGATAAATTTTACTCCAAAAGAGTCGAAAAGTTAAAAAAAAACGAAAAACCTTATAAAAAGTCATAGTAAGCTAATTTATTAATGAAAGAACTTAAAAAAAATTTAGTGTAGCCTACATGTACAGTGTTTGTAAAATTTACAGTGGTGTAAAGTAATGTCAACAATGACTAACTCATCCAGAGCAACTTCTAGTTCTAGAATCTCCATTCATGGTGATGCCTATCTCTTATGCCGTATTTTTAACTGTACCTTTCCTGTATTTAGGTACAGAAATACCATGCTATTACAGTTATGTACCATATTTAGTAGAGTAGCCACATCATAGAGACTAAGTGTGTAGTAGGCTACACCATTTAGGTTTGTGTAAATACATAACATTATGGTGGTTTGCACAATGATGCAATTTACCTACTGATGCATTTCTTAGAATGTATCTCCATCATTGAGAGATATATGTGACTCTATTTCCTTACTTCTGCCTCCTTTGCCATGGCAGACGTCCATTAATATGTTGTGGTCCTAAAATAACATAACCTAAACAGGAAAACTGTCATTGTCTGTTTATGTGTCTCACATTCTTTTCATTCACATTGTGCTCCCAAATAAATACCTACTTATTCGTGTACTTATGAATGAAAAGGTGATCAAGAATTAACTATGATAATGTTACTATATACATAACTATAGCCCAGGTGGCCTCAAGTTACCAGGGTATTCAAGATAGTATCTTCATCATCTTACTTCCTGATACCAAAGATCTACTGCTGAGAATCCTTCTAGTTCCTTACTCTTTTAAAACCTGAATAACTATTGTTCGAATAATTTCAGTTGTATAGATTCTTAATTAAGGTTATCACCATATAAAAGCAGCTAAAAATGAAATAGCAAAACTCAGAAAAATTAAAATTTAAACATTTATTTTTAAATAACACTTTGCTTTATAAAATGACTGCTGCTCTTCCCTATAATTTTTCAGTGTTTAATAAAGATATCTATATTATAAAGGTACAGTATTCACAGTTTTTATATATAAAACTATTACAAGTTAACAACGAAATATGTAAAATTTAATAGATTAACATTTTATGGAGATTAAATAATTAAACTTTTCTTTAGATATCAACTTGTTCCCCATAAGTTTGTGTTCCTACCATAAAAACATATTTCAAACCTTTTCGTCACTGGTAGTAGACTCTGGGTGAGGTAAAGGACTATCCTGGTGAGTTGTTTCTACAACAGAAGGTTCCTCAATTTTGCTTCTTATGATGGGTGTTGCAAGAGGGGACAAATCTAGAGGCATCTAATACAAACAATAAAGAAAATGTTAGAAGTCAATCAGTATGTTTAAATTAAGAAAGCAGTAAGTATAAACTATCATTACTTCTTTGTCTTTCTAGTTTCATGGTTAACAACATACTTTTTTAATGTCATCTTCAGAAGCCTTCTTGAATTCATTCTCAAACGGACTTGCCAACTCATTAAACAAACCCACTTCTTCACAGTTTTTCAAGAATCTTGTTGGTGTTGGGGTCTGATCTGAAATAAATGCCAAGAAGTAATCATACAGATTTAAATATTATTTTAAGATGCTAAAATATAGCTAATAAATAAACGAATTAGGAGGACTGGTTCAGTCAGTTGTTTTTTCTCTTTGGAAAGATCTCTTCCTTTAAAGCAAACAAAATTTGGTTAAGTTTTTGCTGCACTTCAGGATATTTTTTCCAACTTCATGAACCATAAAAGTATGAAAGAAGTCCTTTTTGCTTTTTCATCCACTCATTCTTGCTGAGTAGAGTGGTTTAAGGATATTCTATGTAAGACATAAACTATAGGCATGATCTAACACAGTGATAACAAGCTTTTAAAATCTGCTATTAAAATTTATGACTGTTTAAATATAAGCAATTTGGGAAAAATTAGGTAAGAGCATGTATATTTGTTTTAACTTGGCCCTTCTGCTAGTTTTTATAATCTATTATGAAAGTAAGCTTAGTATAAAACACAACTTTAGTTAAGTATCAAAGTAATATAAGGAAGAAAAAGAAAATTAAAACAAGAGCCCTAAAATCAAAACAAAACCCTCATTACTACTATCTACTGAAGGTAACTGCTTAATATATTTTATAAGAGTAGTCACAGGTTAAAAGTCACATGTCAAAAGAATGTTTCAGCTTAATGTAATTTGGTAAGAATGCCAATTCTATTTTCTAAGATCTGAAATATTTCAACTATACTTGAAACATTATATATACTACATATGTACTGAGTGTTCATATGCTGCATATAGAAAAAGTCGAGTTAAGGACCATATTGAATGAAAAACAGAAAATTTACAAATTTTTCACATTAGAGATGGTCATGAATTAAAATTTAGTTACATTTTATATAATTTAAGGAATGAATTTTATCAGTCATATCAGGAATCTCACCTACTAAATAAAAGTACTCTATTAAGGACAACTCCTGGTTTAAGATAAAATGCTTAAAATATTTTGTGAAATTAAAATTCAGATACCTGCTAAATACTGTGTTCCTACAGTGGGTACTACTATTTTATCTCTACCTTCCACATGTATACCCAGAGTAATAGTATTTTAGTAATAGTATTTTTATTGTATATAAACATACTTAATACTAAAATGACCTAGTCATCATATATATTAGATATCATGTAGGCCTGTTTCAGATACTATGTGTCATAATTTTACCTATTAGTCTTTTTTTTTGCTGCACTGGGGTACTCAAGGTCTTGTGCTTACTAGGCGGGTGCTCTACAGCTTGAGCTATGGTTCCAGCTCAACCTATTAATCTTTAACCTACACTCTACTCCTACTCCCCAAAAGACCTCCGAAATCATAGTAAGTACCTTATGTACATGTATCAGCTTAAGCCCATAACGACTCAATTAGTAAATCAAACATAAACTTGACTCTATTGTTCATACCCAAAGAATTTGTCTATTTAAACTCATTAGGAGGCTCTTATGTCAAAGGCAGGAAAAAGTCTTAAAAGTAAGATGCATAAGCATAAATCACTTTTACTGATGATTACTAACTTGAGAAAAGTCAATACTGACATAATTGAAAAACATGCAAATATGGCCATTGATCATCACATAAATATTACATACGTGATATGTTTTATTTATACAGTAATATTGAACTGTTCATCTCAATGTTAGTAAAAAATGTTTGAGTGCTGTGTCTGAATGTGTGTGTTCTATTTTTACATTTATTAAATGTAATTAGATAGGAAAATAATTTATAGAAACCATCTTCAAAACAATTTTTAAGTTAAAAATTTACAGAAAGAATGCTCTAAGGCAGTAAGCTTTAAGGAGAAAAAAACTTACATGCCTAGGAGAGAGAACTTTCCAGGTTGTTATTTTGCTTGTTTGCCTAGCTCTTGATACCTGACTTAGAATTTTATAAGGAAATGCATATCTCACTCTTCTCTGCTTCCTTTTACTTGAGAACTGAAGATATGTTGAAAGTTCTCCTACATAAATCGTTTTAAATAAATTATCAACTTGTTGATACCTCCAACTTCTTCATCACAAAAATTATGATACTGAAAGTGTAGGAAAAACCATCCAATACTGTCTTATTATCTATCTTCACGTGACAATTTGATGTTTATGATGAGCAATTTAAAAATATTAACAGTATTCAGGCACAGTCCCAGAATTGCAAATAGTATAACCTAAACTTCACACAAAGGTATCTACAGTTATAAATCTTTGGTTATGACAGAAAAGGGCCTAAGGTTTACTTAAAATGATATAAAACTTTTATCAGAATAAATATTTAGAAAATATACAAATGCACTGAAATTATAAATAGTAGTGTGCATACATACACATAGATGTGTGTAGGTATCTATCTATCTATCTATCTATATTAAGTACCAAAAAAGGAGCTATTAGAGCATGTAATGACAATAAACAAATGCATGAATTGGGTTTCTCTTTTCACATATTATGAAAAATAATCATTTGCTTAGGATGATACTGTAGAGTCATGGAGTCAAAACACATAAAAAAAGCATTAACTGAATTTAGGCCTCCTTTATTCAAAGTATTTTACTATACTTTACATTAATACTTTAATGTCTAGTCTAAAAAACCCAAAATCCTAATAAACAAGTCTAATAATTGCTCTATCCCAGGCACAAAAAGTTTGATCATTTTTTATTTCTACACAGCCTTGTAAACCAGATGTAGAGCAGCTAAATACCATATTACTTCAGTTATCAGTTACATGTAAAATCTGTAGATGCTATGAATGTTCCCAGGATTCTAATTAATTTCCATAAAACTGACATTAAAATCTATATGTGAAAAGCACACAAAAAAGTGAAATGAATGATCAAAAGAAAACATGGAAATGTAATGGGTAAAATACATGTTGCCAACATTTACTATAAATGAAGTCACTGGAGTATCACCAGACTCTACTATTTACATAGAATACACAAAATTGTGCACATTCTAGGTGAAATATGTATATAAGCTATTAATAAAAGCATATACTAACCAGCCACAATGACACTGTCATTACGTGCTGGACCAAATTTCAGTGTCATCTCATGTTTATGTTTATGGACAGCCAAATGATCTTCGTTGGTAAAACGCTGTGGCAAAAAGTTTTAAAATATAGTTAAGATTTTCAATTTGATCAATAAGTAAAATGATAAGGATATTCATTTCATTTCCACATGTAAAATCACCATTAACAGTGAAATAGTTTGTAAACCACAAAAGAATCTATTGTTAGTACAGATAAGCACACTAAATTTCAAATAATTAGAGAAACCCACCTACCTAAGAATAAGTAATGCCAACATATTACTAAATCACATAACTAATTTGAGAGCATTTGAAACTAAAACCAACTTGAGTCAAAGAAACTTCATATAAATTTTATTTGGATAATAAAAATGGACTACTATTAACTTTCTGTTGTCAGAGAAGAAAGATATACTCACGGTACAATGACTTTTAAAGAAAGTATTACATATACCTAGACTTAATGTTACTTACCACTTTTTAAATGAGAATTTCCTTTAAAAAGTATTACTCCTGGACAAATTAAAAAATAAGTCAGGCTTTATGTTACCACATTAAAAAAAAAAAAGAATGCCTTTGTTATAATCCAGCAAAGAACAACAACTGATGCAGTAATAAATCAGTTAATTTAAGAATAAAATGTTTGGCTGGGCACTGGTGGCTCATGCATGTAATCCTGGATATTTGGGAGGCTGAAATCCGAAGGAATGTGGTTTGAGACCAGCCCAGGCAAATAGTTCATGAGATACCAAAATAACCACAGCAAAACAGACTGCAATGTGGCGCAAGGTGTAGAGTGACTGCTTTGCAAGTGCAAAGCCCTGAGTTCAAATTCCACTCCCACACACAATACAAAGTTTAAAGTAGTCAAAATGACTTTTAAATTTTTTCCTATACTTAACTGGATGAGTCCTACATGCCAAAGGTGCCATTTCTGACTACACGACAATACATACACTGTTTACATATCTCCTATGTCTGGAAATCAGTCTTTATGAAGATGCTCATATCAAGCAACATTTGTAATTGAAAATAGGAAGCATTTTTCTTTTGTTTTTTTCAGAGCAATTTGCTCACTTTCAAATTCAAAGCAATAATCTTAAGATGTTAAATTAACAGACCTAAACTTACTCTTTAGTCTGTAACTACAGATGTTAAAATTATACCCACTTGGTTTCCCTAGGCCATCAAAATAGATTCCTCCTCTTGTGATCTTCTCTTATGCAATTCATTAATCCTTTCATGCAACTAGGCTAACTTTAAAACAATGCAAAAGGAATTTTTTTCCATTACAGTTTATTCTAATTTTTTTTTAAGTATGACAGTCAGTACTTATATTACCCTTAGCCCAGCACACTAGGCCTTGGGCTATAGAAATTAAAATCCACTCATTTGTGCTTATTATTGCTCTGCACAACACTTTGGTTATAGCACAGTGTAATTTTTCATGTCTATCCTTTTAAGTAATCTGAGTTCCTTTTATGGTACTCCAAATTTAGCATATAGTTAAGAATTCAGTAAATGTTAATTGAAAGAGTAAGCTCCTTATAACAAAAGAGTTAAATCTTAAAGAGCAGTAATGGAGGAAAACTCCCAAACCAAAACCACCCCAACCCACAAACTGTTCAATAAGCTTTAATTTACTTTGGTTGTATTTTATCATTCAGTTTATAAATTACTTCACACCCAATAGAATATTAACTATTATTCTATGATCCTTCTTCAGAAACTGCCCATATTCTCACTGAAGTGTTTAAAAGTGTTCAGAAGCAACACTACTCCCATTTCATTCCTTACTTATTCATTCAGACATTTATTAAGTGCCACCTACGGGTACCAGAATCACAATCCAGCTATTCATCACTAATGTGTTATCTTCTTATTACTTTATCATTATAAAAATCCCTACCAAATTTGGGGGAATAACTAGTGGTGCTTCTTAGAAAACTTTTGAATAATAAAGCTCTTGAAGAATGAACATATCTGCAGAGCTCACTGACATTAACTGCTTTTTTGCTTTGTATTAAAAACAAATGTAAGAACACAAACATACATGTCTTTCAGCAAACACTAAAAGCATCTTAAAGCATTTTTCATCAAATGTTCCTAAGAAGTTCACAATGTGACTTTTCCATTGAAGGCAATCATTAAACATTGTTGAATGAATTCATTTTGGTATAGGTTCCAAATTTTGAAATTGCAAAGATGGCAAAATTAATAGATAAGATGAACTTGGAAATTTTTATCCTAGAAATTTTACTCTACCAGTACCCACTGTTTGGAAAAGTCTGACCACAAATATTCAAATCAAAAAGCAACTGGGGTTGGAGGTGTAGTTCAGTGGTAGAGTGCTTGCCTGGTAAGCACAAGGCCCTAGGTTTGATCTCAGTGCTTCAAAAAACAAAACTACCTATAGAATAAATAATGTGTTCTGAACAAAACATGAAAATGGCACCAAGCTCTATCCCAAGTGAAAATGAGTGGCTAGAAGGACTCTAAAAAATATTTCAGACCATACAAATATTAAAAGAAGAACTGCAAAGAGTATATGTATAAATTCTCATACGGGATTCATAGGTCAAATGCACCTAAATGTTATTTATAAAAGGATTACTGATCATATACTGGTATTGTTTATTGCCATCAATAGCAATACTCTCCAAAGCAAAGGACAAAATACATTCAAATTGGTCTTTGATATAGGTGATCTGACTTGGCTATCAACTGAAAAAATTTATTTACTTTTAACAAAAAGCTTAAAAAGTCAGCATGAATAGGTAATCTGGTTAAAATCTAGTCACTGGGAAAAGTTACACAAACACACATACACACACTGCACATATACATAAGCATACATGAAAGATATGTATTCTTTTTTTAAAAAAATACTTAATATAGTAACTTGTACATGCTAAGATAATTTTTTAGTCTATATAAACTCCTTCCCAAACTAAAAGGTATATTCTATAAATAAAGTTTGTAGAAAAACTATATTACTAGCAATACCAACATAATTAGTTCATACGATTTCTTTCTTCTAGGTAATGCAAAGCCTAATCCCAATGCAAAGTGCAGTAACACAAAATGCACAAAAATATAAGTATTTTGTCAGAAACAAGACCTTGGGCATACAAGCTCAATAAACAACTGAAAGATGATGAAGAAATTCCTGGGTTTTGGGGGTAGATCCTTAGCAGCACAGGTAACCATCTCTCTTGAGAGTATAAAAAGGAAAGGTAATCTGTTAGATGGGAGGAAGGTAAATCAGTTGTTTCCATAATAAATTAATGTAAGCAATTAATCTGTTTCCCAAGCTTGGCTACTTTACCAGAATTAACTTCCTAAGAAATTCTGTGTTCTTATACTCACATCCATAATACACTGATTATTACTTATAGTTAATGTATTAAATAGGCACAAAGGCATCAGGTCACTAGCTCATTTTCAACTTTTTTACACTAGTTGAAGTACTCATATTGAATAGGAGGATGTTACTAACACACAAATACCTCCAATGAGACTTTAGACTAAATAAAATGAATCTACATCTCTTTTGTAAAACAGCTTATAACCAACTATTCTGCCAAAGTAATTTTCAATGAGAATGACACCAAAGGCAAAGATATGATCAATAAGAGTAGCAATATTAAATGAACCTTTTACTAAGTTATCTCACTTTGTCTCTTACTGAATTCAACAGATCATCCCTTTATACAAATGAAATTAACAGAAGTCTCTGTAGAATACCTAACAGTTACTTGGGCACATTTAAAAAAAAAAGATTTAATAGCAAGAATCTTTAGGTAAACTCTTTTACCTAAAGGTCTCTCTCTTAAGTGATATTATCAACCAAATACATTCTAAATTATAAAAATCTGGAGGCATGTCTCAAGTGGTAGAGTGCTTGCTCAGCAAGTGCAAAGCCCTGAGTTCAAACCCTAATTTCACAAAAAAAAAAAAAAAAGTAAAAATCTATTTGAAAATTTAAATTTAAGTCCATTAAGTGTGTCAACACTAAAATTAAAATCTGGAATATTACTGTCTACTGATGAGAAAAATAATTTGCACTATCATCACCAACATAGTGTTTTTTAAAATCAACTATTATTAGAACCTTCAATTTTCTAGAAACACTATTTCAATCTAAAGAGAACTCATCATTCCTGATCTCAGAAAGACTTAACAAATGGATGTTGACATTAGCCAAGTTATATTTTGGTCAATAACAATTACAAGGTGGTATTGTAACAGAAATTATTTTATTTTATTTATTTGGAAACAAATACATGCCAAAAATGCATAATACTTAAGATTATAGTGTTCATAATGAAAAGGGTCACTATTAGTGAGAATAAAACTATTAGGGAAAGCAAAAAAACTGATTTAGCTTTTAAAACCAATTTGACAAAATATACAAAGAACCTAAACTATGCATATACTTTTTCTTCCCCTTGGTGATGCTAGAATCGAATCCAGGATCTTGTGCATGCTAGACAAATGCTATACCACATCCCCTGCCTTTGGTTTTTTCACACTGTCTCACTATGTAGCCCAGGCTAGCCTTGAATTCTATCTCTCAAGTGTTGGGATTACACTACACTTGCCTGTGTATACAATTTGAGCCAGTAATTCTAGTTCTAAAAATGTATTTTAAGAAGCTAATTAGAGATGCATACAAAGAATTATATAGAATGAAATTCATCACAATACTGCTTTGAAATACTGAAATTAACTTCAAAGTCCGTAACAGAGTAATGGGTAAAACAAAAAAAATGAAAGGACGTGCTATAGCAAGAGAATACTACATAGCAATTTAAAACCATGTTTCCAAAAACACACAAATGCTCACTATACCTATTATATATTATTATTTATATGTATAAATAAAATGTCGCTCAAATATATATATGTATAAAATGTCACTCAAATATAAACAGACTATAATTCTGTGTAGTATTTTCTAATTTTGTTTTAAAAATAAAAAAAGGGGAAAAATTTAGGAAATGCTTCAGAATATTAACCAAAGTTCTCTTTGGGTTTTACTTTGTCCTTTAAAGCTTAACAT